ACTACAACCACAACTCCCACTACCACAACTCCCACTACCACTACTACAACTCCCACAACTACAACCACAACTCCCACTACCACAACTCCCACTACCACTACTACAACTCCCACAACTACAACCACAACTCCCACTACCACAACTCCCACTACCACTACTACAACTCCCACAACTACAACCACAACTCCCACTACCACAACTCCCACGACTACAACTACAACTCCCACGACTACAACCACAACTCCCACTACCACAACAACCAGTACTACGCCCGCAACTACAACCGAGCCTTTCACACACCAGGGTTACTGTATCGATAACGACGATGGCATTTATCCCAACCCAGATGACATTTTTAGCTTTCTGCAGTGTACTAATAAGGAAACAGTTGTCCATCAATGCCAACCTGGACTGCGCTACAGAGCAAATTGCACATGTTGTGACTGGAGATAGAAAAAACCTCCCTGATGATAATGCAAACTCACAACGCAGTATGATTCACGATTTCTTTCAACAAAATTAGCACCAGACAAATTATGACAAATTACAATGCTTCTTAATTTGTAAGAACTACGCAAAATACAATTTCCAACTGAAATGGTCTTGTACCTCATAAACTGAAATTGGTATCTTAAAAAAATGGAATACAATAATGTACACATCTTTACAGAAACACTGTACATCACCCTTTATCTCCCCCAGTCTTTTACTCCCCTTTACCTTTTACTCGACCATGCTAATTGTCAATATATTAAACAACAAAAGAATATAAAAAATATTAACTGGAAAGCCTTCATTTTCTTGGTAGAAACACTGTAAAACACTCTTTGTGCCTGTGGAAAAAGTTCTTCCCACATTTTGTTTCAACACCTGAAACTTACTTAGGCTATGTGGGGACGTGATGTCTTGGTTTAAAAGTGGGTCACGACCAACCATTTTTAAGAGCATTCCGACACCTACTATAATAGAGTAGACACTTAAGTATCCTGTATACTGTAAAATATGTTCTCCTAAAAGAATTCATTTTTGTGCCGGAATATTTAGTCATTTACTATTCCTCACCCTAATTCTTCAACATAACTGTTTTGTTTGTTTTTTTTCTTTAATGTAGTTTCCAGCTTGAAATTGTCCTCTAATTGTAAATATTATTTATTTTATTTATTGATATCAAACACAATCAGCTACAATGTGTATTTAGCAATTTTGTTTAGAAATGATTGATCTATCTCAATGAAGGTCTATGTATCTTCTTATTCACTTCTGTTGTTTCTGCAATAATAAAGCACAAATTTTCTTCTTATTTTGTGTCTCTTTTACATGGTTTGTTGTCATTTACCTATCATTATTTGATCAGAATATGCACATGGCTTATTTAGATAATGCAAGCCTACCAAATTTCAAAATGATTGCTTGAAAATTGTTAAAATCACAGTGAATTAGCAAATTGGTACTAATTAAAGCCTAGTGTTTATTTTTGGTGTACTATATTTTTGTTGTGTAATATTTTTTATAGTATGTTTTATATATATATATTATAATATTTTTCCCTTCCAATGGACTCACCACCCACAGGAAGGTTCAGGGGGGTTGGTATGGTGCAGTGTGATCTGGGTGGCGGTCATGGAGACTGCTGCCCCCACGACCCGGTAACGAATAAACGGATGAAAATGGATGGATGGATGAAAATTATATTTTTATATATTTTTGCTGTATAATATTAGGGACAACACAGACAAGAACGTTTGGAGAAAAAGACAGAGAAGACAGTTTGAGATAGTTTGGACATGTGAGGAGGAGGGACAGTGGACACATTGGTAGAAGAATGTTAGAGATGGAGCTACTGGGGTGGGAGAAAAAGAGGAAGGCCAAAGAGGAGATATATGGATGCAGTGAGGGAGGACATGCAGATAGTTGGAGTCAGAGTAGAAGATGCAGAGAACAGGGTGAAATGGAAAACATTGATACGCTGTGGCAACCCCTGAAAAAGGGACAAGCCAAAAGGAAAAGAAGTAGTTTATTTTTGGTGTACTGTGTGTGTCAAGTTGGGAGCTTCACTTCCTGCCCTTTGACAAAATGTGACTTTTTTTATTCTCCAAGGATCCATAAATCTCAATCACACTTTTTTGCAAGCAGTTCTCTCAGCTTTACACTTAATGCTGGTCTCGCACCCCATTCATTCATGAATCCATTCATTAAACCCCATATAAAAATAAACAACCACTTCTAGGAGACTGGTGTTTCCAGAGAAAACCCATGTAAAGATGGGCAGGACATGCAAACTCCATACAGAAAGAAAACATACCACCATAACAACTGTTGCCACAGGAAATAAAATAGGTGATTTGTTGCTGCACAGCAAGAGCACAAACCTTCAATGGAGCCTGTCCTCCTCTTTTATGAACAACACGATTACGTTCATATAAAAAATGTACTGAATATATAGACCAAACAAAGGACAGCGTTCATAGCATGTATAAGTGCTGTAGTAGTAGGTAGTGGAGACTATAGCAAGTGTGTCAAAATCTTGGTTAGATAAAACACGGTAAACACATTTCTGTATCATAGTGGCATTTAAAATCACACTGAAGGTGTCGCTGTTAATTAACATTCCCTGCGCAGTAACTGCTAATTATCTTAAAAACCAGTCTTGTTTAATAGGGTCATTAAAGTCAAGGCAAAAAAAAAAGGAGATACAACTCCAAAACCCTTTTAACTTTTAATTAAGCAGTTCATTTCCTAACTGCTAAAAGCGAAACCTTTCCAAAATTCCAGGAATTGCTTTAGAAATTGAGTTTCTATTTCCAAACTGCTAACACACACACACACATACACACAGACAAACGGCGTGGGGGTGGGGTGGGAAGGGGACTGAGGTAGCGCACAGGGGGCAACAAGGTAATATGGCAATGACAATCATTGAGATACACCAAGTGTTTATCCAACAATTATACCTCAACCCCATTCCCAACTGATGAGGGTTGATTCCATATTAACTCGGAACACAAGCTGGTTTTACAATGATTGTGTTGCCAAAATTATACTGTAAGTTCATTGTGTTCTCCACCACAGACATTTTGTACTACAGACAGTGTCTGTCCAGTGACATTTTTTTCTGTGTTAGTGTTAGGCAATAGTCATTACTGTTTTATATATTTGCATAGCAACTGAGAGAAAATCCAGGATGTAAGAGGGTGAGCAGACCCTCTCAGGTCTGTCTTGTAACCGTAAACATCTGTCCTGTGAAATGTCCTTTGAAATATTATTTAACTTGAAATAATTAGAGCTGTTTTAATCCTATTTTCCATAACCTACCTATACAAGCCTGGCGTTTCAAGCACCAACATTATGAAACCAAAACAAGAGAGACTCAGAACAGTTGAAGTTCGTAGAGTGTGTCTTTCTTCAATTCCTGAGAACATCAGCGCTGTGTTCAAATAAACAGACCCTGGTAAATTCAAACAAGACCATCATTTTATTTCATTATACGTACTTGTTTGCACTATATTTAGTTTCTGTGACACGATTGTCTCATGGTGTGCTCTGAGACTTTTGTAATGTAAATGAAAGTGAAAGGATGATATTGTTCTAAGAAAGAGCTGTGTACGTCAAACTGACTTGCCAATAGCAACACCCAAAGTCAGCATGACTTTGGGTGTTGCTATTGGCAAGTACAGAATAAATAAATAAAACAATACAGGGCTTTGCAATGATGGGCTGAGTTCCAATGCAGCAAGACATTTTAAGCTTGTAAAAGGAATAATTAAGAATGGTTGTGTTGTGTGTGTATATATATATGTATACATATATATGTATATATATATGTATACATATATATGTATATATATGTATACATATATACGTATATATATGTATATCTATATATATACACACACATAAATTAGTATATTAGTACAGTATTTTCAGTTGTGTATGTTTTTTTGCAGTGTATTTCACACTCAGTATTATGTCCCTATTTTAAGAGAATACCTTTTAAAATCTGATATACTGTTTCTCCCTTGTGTTTATTTCTCATTTTTGGTTTCTATTCTATTCTTTTTAATTGGCGGCCACACATCACGGTACAAATTAGGAAAGCCACAGGAAACAATTACAGTGGATTTCTATTCTATTCTTTTTAATTGGCGGGCACACATCACGGTACCTCGAGATAGGAGCACCTCGAGTAACAAGCTCAGTCCTGGAACAGATTATGCTCGTATCTCGGGGGGGGGGGGGTCTGCTGTTATTGCCTGGGTTCTTGATAAATTTGTAGAATTTAGTGAATTGCTGCTGTGTCAAATCTGCATTATGTTTAAAATAGTGCCGTGTTCGCAATGTGTCATGTAGGTTTGAGGTCTGTTTCTGATGAATCACATTTGTGCCAAAACTGACTCTGCACCAAATTATACGAGATGAAATGTTATTATATCAAATCCGCATTTTAACGTTGTCTTTGATGCAGTAGCTGAGTTGCAAATACATTTAAACACATCACCAAAACAAACTATTTTAACTTAAAGCATAACGTCTAAGAAAAAACCTTACATGTGAGCCCTTATAAAAAAATAATTTCTTTATTACATTTTTAATCCTTTCATAAATATCCAGATTATCCTTTACCATAATGCATTTGAGTAACATTGCAAAACTCATTAAGAGAAGTGTTTGCTTGTAACTTTAGAAGAAGAAAAAAATCTCACGATTCTCTGAAGGTGTCCTTCAGAGAATCGTGAGATATTTTTTCTCATAAAGGAAGGCGTGGGAACCTCCGGATAAAGGTTTAGAAACATAAGACTCAAACCTGTTGTGTAAGTATGGAGAACCGCCATGCAGATGTGGGTTTCAATATACAATTGTATGTAAAGTCAATGAGCTCAATCTTTTTAATTTTATCTAAAATTTCAGTTCCTGGTGTTTACAAAACCCTGACTTTTGTGTGAATTTTGATTTCCTTGGTATTCTGTTACTGTAAAATTGTCATGTGACTATTCTAGACAAACACACACGCACTGGCTTGTTGATGCACCTGCTTGTTAAGTACTTACCTATTTTTAAAACAGAATTAACACACCTACATTCATGGCAACAACAAAATGTCCTTTATTTAAAGTGTGGAAAAAGTCTAGTTGCGCAAATAAAATGTTAAATAATCCCAAGCAGAGGTGGAAAGTAATGATTTACATTTACTCATGTTACTGAGTTGACTACTAATTAATACTATTAGTTGAGTAGGTTTGTGAGTAATTTGTTAAAGTTGTTTTGGGATTAGGTAATTTTACATTTTACTTAGATTTTGACTCAAGTATTTCACTTCGCTACATTGGGAAGGAACCCGTTACTGAGTAAAAAATTAAAAGCGGGGATTAACAATCTGCGTTAACTGAAATAAACTTGCGTCCGTGTGCAAGCAAATTTCCCACTATGTTTATGTAGCCATATGACGTTGACTAAGAGAAGGACTCTGTCGTTGAATGATGGTTAGTGTCAAACAGAAATGGCGGTTGAGGATTGCCAAACAGAGAGCTCCAATGGATGACAGATGACCCAAAGAGAAGGAGATCCGTGGCCATATCTCAGCCAGCTCTGTTTTCAAATCCAAACAAGGGAATAACTTTATCATGCAACGCAAAATGTGCCGGCCCCTGCGGACAGAGGTGTCACTGTCAAAACTTAAGTGTGCTTTAGTGACTTGAATTTGCAGTGTGCAAGTGTGCAAGTGTTCAAATGGATTACAGAACTCTCAGCCTTTGATACTTGTGTTTGAATTGTTGATTAAAAACAACTAGTTGCAGATAGGGTTTATGACTCAACCTTTTTTGCATCAAGTGATTCAAAGTAACTTTTACTCAAAGTAAATCTTAAATTAAATATTTTCTTACCTCTACTCATGTAGATTTTAAGATGGGTACTTTTACTTTGATTTGAGTAGCATTTACACAAAGTAAAGATACTTTTACTTTACATTTTTTAGTTCTTTTACATATCTGATACCAGGATAGTATGAAGTATGATAGTATGAAGATTGGATTAAGAAACAATCCCTGTCTGACTGAAGCCATGCACATCTCTGTACTAGACCCCGCCTCCCTCACATGTCTGTCTTTAAAACAAACCTCTGCCAAAACCTCAGTCAGTTTGAGGACAGCAACTGCTGCGTTCTAAAACACTGTGAGTATTATTTCACTTCTTTGTCATTAAAACAACTTGCTACTGATAGAAAATCGTTGTATGACAACTAGGTTGTTCATGGTAAAACATTTATTTCAGCATTGAGGGCTTTTTGCTTCTTTTTCGGTCATTTCTCAACAGAGGCACAGTTTAAAATGCCAAGAGCTGCAGGCGATTAAATCAGCTTTTGTTTATAATGTTCACCATTTGTTCCTTGTACTTTATGCACTATGCTTTACCTCAAGACAAACGCGTGCACATGTAATTGCTTCCTCGTGTCATTGTTACAGAGAAATGCCATGTCTAAATATATTTTTATCTTTATGTGCTGCCAAGCTATAAGGACTGAATTTAAAGGTGGTATGGGTGGAATCTTTTTAATAACATAGCATGAGTATCTATCAACAGCTAACAATTCTGAACAGAAGTAGAGGTACCGTGATTTTTGTTCTGTTCTGTAAGAAGCTACACCAAATGTTGGATTAATTTTAGTCTTATTTCCCAGGTGACAAAAACACATGCATCACTTCCATTTTTCCTTTTCAAGCCGTATTAAGAGAAATTAGTGTCAATCAAACATTGCATTGCCATCCTCTTCTCTTCCTTCTTAAGTTAGATTAGATTCTTTCACTCTTCTCTTCCTTCTTAAGTTAGATTATGGATTATGGATGGATTAGATTCTTTCCTCCTTTCTGCTCACTACTCAGATATTTCTATGTACAAGAGTACAGGTAATAAATAGATTTTTTTTTACACTTTAGCATTAGATTTCAGCACTCTGATATAGTTTTGCCACCAGGCAGGAAAAAAAATACTATACAGTACTCACCAGCCACCAAAAATGCACAGTTGGTTTAAGATATAAATTGCAGATACAACAGTTTGATTTAAAGAAATCTGACAGCATTTACTTCTCCAATTCTTTACTCTCTGTTCTATATATTTATTCAAAATGAGTTTTGTTTTACCTTCTGACATTTTCATCAACGTACGTTGACTATATGAAGGACAAGAAAGCCTGTGACTGAGGTAACGAGTTCCTTCCTTGACGGAAACACAGTAAAAACACTGTATGTGTCTGTGGAAGAAGTTCTTCCGATGTTCTGTTTGAACACCTGAATGACACATAGGCTACATAGGAACCTGACATCTTAGTTAAACAGAAGAAGAGTTTAAAAGAATAGAAGAATAGTACTGTAACCGTGCTTTTATTTTAAAGTTAATGTTTAACAGATAACTACTGTGTGAGGCAACTAAAGTGCTAAAGCGTTTTGCTGTTGCACCTGCCTTTCACATCTGCCTTACACAGAAAAGGTCCTGGGTTTGAGCCCCAGAGGAACCAAATACACTTGTCACTTCCCAAGACGAGAAATAAAAGTAAAGACTACAGAAGCCAAGATGGATGTATTCTGCTTAGCCTGGCTTATGGGATACTTAAGGGACAGTACAGGAGAAGTGGAGGTTTTCAAGAGGCTAGTGAGACATGCTAAAATATCAGAATTTAAAAGACAGCAGAAAGAACCGGATAGATAGAACTTTATGAATCCCTCAAGAGTTCCCTTTGGGAAATTAAGGCGGCAGCAGACCTGGAATGATCATCGTGGTAAGATGACAAATTGGAAACCATGTATGGAGAATGTTTGTGTGGACTCCACAGTGATGCTGTGTGAAGCAGAAATTATTTTTTTTCCTTTCCTTCTCATTAGCAGGAGGTTATTTTGAGCCAAAAAAACAAGAGAATAAAATTCTTAAAAATTAGATGAACTTCTGGCACAGTAAAAACAAAATACATTTTTTATATGTAAATATACATATATACCAATGTGTTCAGTTTTGGTTGTTATCAGGGGCTATTATTAATTCTTACATTCTTAATTTGAGGCACATATTGTTTGGCTCTCATTTGAAACCACAGCTGTAAATAGTTGACTTGTGATGCCACCCTGGGGTACGGTTTTGGATACTAATATTCAAATTGAAAATGTTTTCATTAAACCACATTATCCACAGCCATTATTACCTATCATTACCATTAGAGAATGGCTATCATTATAAATTAATGGCCAAATGGCCATTGGCCAATGATCCCAAAATGTCAATTAACCTAAGTAACCTAAACCCAAGGTCAAGGACACAAAGGTTAGCAATACATTTGCGTTTACCACTTTTCTTCAGTTATTATTATTAGGATTCCCAACACAAAAGAAAGACCCTTCGGAAAATGAATATATAACAGTAAAACATTAATATCAACATCAACACCCCACAAACAACACACTTCGTCAGATCATGTGTACCATCTACATACAATCCCATTTCTCAAAAACACAACTTGTTGTACATAAACAGTAAGATTGGTATTTTTATTTCTAAATAATTTTGTCATAAACAAACAAATCATAAACTCTTTCTTCACAGACTGTCACTGAGAATCTAATTCATGTCCACACACACACATCCACATAAAAAACATTAAAAACTTAATTAACCTAACATTAAAATAACTGAAGTCAATGCTGGCATTATGTAAAAAAAATATCTTACCTTTAAAATAATTTAAGTCGTTGATCGTTCCATTCTTTTATCACTTTTGGGGTCAAGTCCCTCTCAGACGCTAATTGACCAAAGTAGAAGAAACCTGGTACTCGGTGTGGTTGTAGGTCTTCTAATATTAGTACCAGCGACAGGTGTAGGGTCGGTTGTTGTTATTCATCCGCAGTGATCCCGGTTCTCATTGGCGTCTTCTCCCAACGTCTGTGGATACGCAGAGATGCAGTTTCCAGCTTTGACCATTTACTTCGATCCCAGCGTCCATTTTTGAAGTTTGCTTCTTCTGTTCCTCCAAACACGGGGTTGTCACACATTAAATACCGACGTAGCGTACCGCCCGTCGGCTAAAATCGTCGTATTTTGAAGGAAAGGGTTGTTTTGGGGTTTTTTTTAGGAAATACTTACAGATGAAACTGCGACTAAATAAAAAGCGCAGAAATGTTTTTTTATGGACGCCCCGCCCTCTACTTTTAGCGTCATGCGTCACGTTAGTGATACGTTGTATAATGAATGGACGTGAATAATAAAGTTTCGTATCCTGTCGTGCTAACAAAATGTACGTAGCCACATAATGAAGGGCTTTACTAGAAGTAAATCTGAAAACAATGCACCACTTACTGTATAGAGCGCGCAGCACAATCATCGATTTGTACGTCGTGCGTCACTATCTGCTAGGTTTTACGTCACCAAATTATACATCTTGAGTTTATTTTTCAGGTTGTTTGAAATGTATAAAGTGGGGTCAATTTATATAAAAGAAAATAAGGTAATTCCTATGCCTGGTTATAGTGTGTAAAGTAATTGCTTAAATACAAATGTTGGTGTCAACTTTTGCCCTTTGTAATCTTGGAAGAACCTAAGGTTCACTTGTTGTCGTCTTTCTTTAACTCTGTGTAAACAGTGCACTGGTAATCAGGAAGTAAAAGCTGGCAACAGGGTGACAAAAGTGGAGATAACAATAACGATGATAGCTATAATTGTAATATTTATTTAATTATTACGTTGATTGATTGATCTTTGTCACACACACACACACAGAGTCTTCATCTTCTTCCCAGTCACAAGGAAGGGATGTTTGGTTTTGAACAAGCCATTAACAATTCAAACATAGAAATAAAAAGAATTAATTACACTGTGTTCCTTTCATGTTCTGATTTTCCCTCTGTTTTATTTTGCTCCACAGGGTAGAAACATGGACAAGAAAATTGCTGTTGCAGGTGAAACTTTAACAAAAAAAAATAAAAAAAATTACAACCATATTCATTAACATCAGCTGATTCTGACCAACTTTTTCACTTTTTAAAGGCCTCTGTTTAATGATGGCTCACTTGGGTGAGTTTACTTTTACATATACGGAATCAATGGAATCATTTTGACAAATGAATGCCACTACAACAGTATAACAACATTTTACACATGGTTTCCACCTTTCAGCTTCTTCCTCTGTTCTGATGTGCTACGTCACCAGCTGGTCCCAGTACAGAAATGGTGAAGGACAATTTATCAGTGACAATCTTGATGCAAATCTCTGCACTCATCTGGTCTTTGCCTTTGCCAACATGGAGAACAACGAGCTGAC